ATTTCTCGGGTTCTGGGCCGTTTCTCATGGTTCTTCCTTCTTTCGTGTACCACTCACCATCCCTAGGTTAATTTGAAATGGGTTGCTTTTTCATCGTGAATTCGTCCTTTAATTGTTCAATTCAGATTTGGAAATCCTCCCGTTTCCCAAGCAGGCGGAGTCGTCGCTGGAGCTCAGAAGGAGAAGCTTCGCCGCTCAAGTAGCAGAACTAGCAACTTACAAACTGTGGGTATAATACTTTCGTAATCCTTAGCCATTCATACTGGCCGAAATAATTCCCCCTCAATCACAATTCTTCGACTACTTTGGCAAAACTCCTGGTCTTGATCCATTTACAGTGCACCATGAATCTGACCTCTTGTGGATTCTTCACGACATGTGAACCTGGGTATTTCGCTATGGGGCTAAACCGGGTACGAACACGACTACTTCCAGAATAAAGCATGGATTTATAATTTCGAGGGAGCTTAAGAACGTTATGTGTGTGAAGCCCTACCATGGTCGAACGAGTACGCACATTCTGCCAATGTTGGAACGCGACTCATTGTGTATCCTATGGTTTTTGGCAAAAAGAATATAATATGTAATAATGAATAAGCGAGACAGTCATGCTACAGGGGGTGCATGAGGATTTTGAAGAAAAGAAAATTTTGTTTTCAGAAAACATTACAAAGATGTTCATCGAAAATCGTTGGCGGAGTCCATGTGCCCGTTGCGTCGGATTTCTTGCAGATTTTCCAAATATCGGTCCATCACCGGAATGTAACGCTATGCGCTATTTGATTTAGAGGCAGTGAACACCATGGCCGTAGGGCGGTGCGGTTTTAACGATGTTACTAAATGCATTGATGGAAGGGTGTTGAGAGGTCGCTCAACCACAAACACTAGCGCGCTGTGGAGTCTGTGACCGTATCCTATCCTTCCCTAGGCTATGGGAGCAAAAGAGTTCTTCAAATTCATTTTTGTTTCCGAAGACCCAGTTCCATTTCTTTCCGCACGTGCTTGGCCTTACACACAAATACACATTACAAATATGCACTTTCTCAGGACGGTTTTTGCTGGTAAGACAAAGAAAATTTGAAGGAAGTTTTTCTTCTCTACCTTTGGGAAAGGGTAATATACGGCCCTGGTCTACCATGACGACTTCGATTCGTTCCGCCCTCCAGCCATCGTGTCACTGTCTTCGGAGTTGTGCTTTATGACTTCATAAGATCGAAGGGTAAATACGCCTTCTCCAGATGCAACAATGTGTTCCGTCCTCACAGTGGAGCTGCCATGAGTGCTTTACAACGAATCATGCCTGCAGACTATGACGATGAGGATGGTGAATCTGAGAAGATTCGTAACCTATTCTGCTTCCTAAACATTCCATTATTCCGTCGTTCAAGGTATTTCATCACTCAGAACTTCCGTTGATGGTGATCGTTTACCCGATCCATGTTTCGTGGCGCAGTCCCTATCCAGGTGAGCGGAAATATTACCGTTTCCATATAATATACTTTCTGGACTCAAGCCCTTACCTTCATTGCTTCATGGGCACCGTATCATTCACCATATCATTGTGATTAGGGAGAGACCAAAAATGACTAGTGAAGGAGACGCAAGCGCCCACTGCCCCTCCCTTAGGAAACAAATGAGGGAAACACTTCCCTTATTTATCCCTGTCTGACCCCAGAATAGCTAATGGAGACAGGGTTACGTGCCAGCAAGGGCACACGGTATGTATACCTTTGAATGTTAAAGGAGGATTCCACGATAATATAATAATAAATCGAGGTCGAAGTCGAGAAGCCTACCTAGTGGAAAGGCAGGCGGGTCCTCTAAGGGGTGATTCGACTTGCAATTTGCAGCGAAGCATATGCTCACAGCGATCTAACATTCCTGTCCCCGCGCCGCGATCGATCACAGCTCGGTTTCAGAAGCGATCTCGTTACCTTTATCTGTATTTAGGTATAGCTCCTACAAAAAATCGTAGGAAGATTTTCACCAGTCAGCCTTGAAAAATACGATGAAGGTGTACTATGTTTCAGATGGCGATCTGAACACCACCGCCCTTCGATGTCCGTCTCGGCATTTTTCGTGCATTGGTCACAATTCCTCTACGACGACATGGCATCCATTGCACCGTTTAAGCTTGCTGGTAAGCAGGATCTCCTTTTATACCCTGTTTATCCCTAAGTGCGTTCTCATGGCTTCAGATGGCAACGTTCCAACATGTTGCCCAATATCCCGCCATCCAGAATGCGCTCCTCTCCAGAAAGATAACGGGTGAGTTTTCTGAGGGGGTTGCATTAATGACAAAGCGATAGAATAGGTGTGAAGGCGTCATGACTGTCCT